AACGCGCCGGCGCGTTTTGCTCGTTTTTTTTCACATAGCAGAAAAATAGACTTAAAGTACTACCATCATTTCTGTTCATATAGAGTTAAGAAATATGAGAAAATAATCTGTTAAATGTCTACTTTTTTATGTGCCCACATACAATCGAAATAAAATATTGTGCTTTTGTAAAATAAAGAAAATAAACAGGGTGTGCGTTCTGCCTCTCGGTCACCGTGAACTTTTTTTCTGGAGCACGTCTCTAATCTTCAACACAACTCAGCTAATACTATTCACCCAGCCATAAGCAATATATCTTTTAAATCATTTGAGTTTGTACTTTTAAATGATCCGATTCAAAACTAAAATTATTATTCTCCGTTTATGTCATCTATATAAAAAGAGAGACGTGTCAGCCCATCTCATTATCGTTCTCTCAGCTGATTATCTGTGGTAATGTGACACGCCCACGGAGAGCACGCGCTATTCAAACGCAAATATGTGAAGCAACACATTGAGACGCGTTAACGCCCATAAACTCTGAAAACACACATTATTTTTTAGTCAGATTAATCTACTGTCGTCTTGCGCGGCTATATGTGGAACAATCCTGGGACATTTACCACTGGGTTATTTTCACTTCGAGGATGAACAGATTCAGCTGAGAAGTAAGTGTTTTTTGCAAGTGCTTTGTTCTAATCGCGATATAGAATAACGTAGTGTCTGTAAACGGAAAAATAGCATACTGTTAAATGTGAATCATGTTTGTGTCACACAGTTTGTGTGTGTGTGTGTGAATGAATGAATGAACGCACAGATACGCACTGTTACAGACTAAATAACAGACAACATTTCGTTGACTCGTTTTGGATAAAGTTTTTACTCTAAAATAGACATCAAATAAGCTTTTTTAGGAGTTTCTGCTCATATGTTAAATATATAGTATGTTTTGTCAATAAACTAATCAACTAAGATGTTATAGTGTTTGTTCAAGCTATATCAAAATAATGAATCCTCAACTTTGAAATATGTATGATCAAACTAAGACATTTATGGAGAAAGACAATTTTCTTTTCAAGATGTTTCCAACTCTAACTTTGAACTGAAATAAAACCATGTCTATATGGTGAAGGGTGTGTGATAGAAGTGTCCAGACGTATGCACCCTGTATTTTCCTTATAATATCCAAACAATCTAAAAGCCATTCTTTTTTAAATCTCCTCATTCTTTGTGCAAGGCTCCTGTAATGATATGGCCTGATAGCACCTAATAGGGCCATTATGGGAGGGTCTTTGTCTTTCTCAGGTGTGGAATGCCATACATATTAATGAGAGATCAAGCCTCCTGCATAAAGCTTTCTCAAACAAAACACGTCATTAAAAATGTAAAAGACTTTATTGACTTATCTGAATGAGTAGTCAGGATGATTCTCACATAGTTTTGGAGCAAATATTCTAGGCTATGTGATACAATTTTCAAAAGTCTTGTGAAGAAATAATCAATATGTGTTTTGTGGTCTTATTTCAGCAACTTTCATTTTTATTTTTTTCAATAACCACGCATAAACATTATTCTATTAAAAATACAAACATGTACATACATGTTGCTCAGATCTCATGGTAGCCAAGTTTGTGCTATATAGAGTGAATTTACACCTTTGCCATTAACATGTTTATAAATAACTGAAAAAAGCACAAATGTCAGTGCATGTCAAAACATCCCAAGGGCCCCAAAAACACTCTGGTCCCCAGAGGGTTAAATTAAAAAAAACTGTCCCGACACTTTATTTAAACCTTGAAATGTTCGAACTTGGTTTCAAACTTAAGTAATTTTAGTGTTCTTTTACATTACACAATTTAGCAGACTAAAGACGAGCTTCTTCATTTTCATTTTCTGATGCAATCGGCTGACAATCTTCCTTCATCAGTTTGTGTCCTTTGTGCAGCGGCTGCGGCTCTACAGGAATGTAGCAAATTTATGTTGTAATGATAATTAAACAAAACTCTTGACTTTAAATAAGTAAACAGTTATAAACAGTTACCTATTTAAGCATCAAGAAGGTAAAATATAAACGCTATTGGCCAACATCGGTTAACAACATGTATGCTACATTGAGATTCGATCTCGGGTCGATTGAAGCTCCTTGAAGCTCGTGTTGTTGCATTAACCACTGAGCTAACGCGTCTATACGTCTGTAAATGTTTTTTCATTTTCAATTTCATTTCAGTAGCCTAATTTCAGTATTGTGATTATGAATTATTTTAACTACGTTTCACTTGTTGAATTCATCTGCTACCAGCTTTCAATCGCTCTGAAAAAACCGCGGCGCGGCGGCAGATTATGCATTAGAAAGAATAAACGAACACTTTTCAGAGTCTATGATTGTAGCGCCTCTTAGCGGTAAAAGGCAGAAAATACACCCCACATTTTACCGCCGCGGTGGAACGGCTGATGTGGGCGTTGTCATGGCTTGCCTCAACATTTGCGTTTGAATAGCGCGCGTCCTCCGTGGGCGTGTCAGATTAACGCGTAATGAAGTGTAATGAGCTGGGGAAAAAAATTCTGACAGCACTCTCTTTTCATACAGATTACATAAACTGAGAATATTTGTTTTTTATATAAATTACTTCATTGAAAAGAAGAGAATTCAAGCTTCGTAAAGAAAAATCTCTCGTGCCTGTATGACAAGTATTTGCAGAGTTAGAGTTAATTTTTCGGACGTGTTTCAGAATGGACTGCACTGACAGAGAGAAGGCAAAACTCGCATCATGTTTATTTTTCTTTATTTGACAAAAAGCACAAAACTTTGTTTTTATTGTGAGTATACAGAAAAATAATAGACACTTAACAGGATCGAATGATGTATAACACTTATATGTACGATCAAAATCAACAGAGTATTTTAAGTCTATTTTTCTGCTATGTGAAAAAAAAACGGCAAAACGCGCCGGCACGTTTCTGGTCCCCAGAGGGTTAAATAGCATTAGCCATAACCTCTGATTAAAGGGTTAGTTCACCCAAAAATGAAAATTATGTCATTAATGACTCACCCTCATCTCGTTCCAAGCCCGTAAGACCTCCATTCATCTTCGGAACACAGTTTAAGATATTTTAGATTTAGTCCGAGAGCTTTCTGTCCCTCCATTAAAAATGTATGTACGGTATACTGTCCTTGTCCAGAAAGGAAATAAAGACATCAAAGTAGTCCATGTGACATCAGTAGGTTATTTAGAATGTTTTGAAGCATCGAAAATACATTTTGGTCCAAAAATAACAAAAACTACGACGCTGCTGACGTGTTATCTGGTGCGCCCGAGCTTCGTTTACAGTCTGAGGGAGACGTACGCTGTAAACAAAACAATCTTCGCAAACATGTCTAAGGATTTCGACACAGAGGAAGACTTGCATTTTTTTGCCCAGCCATATTTATTTGAACCCGAATACACGGACGCACCAGATAACACGTCAGCAGAGTCTTACGTCAGCAGCGTCACTGAACGCGGATTGACAACAGAACCGGAAGACAATACAATGCTGAATAAAGTCGTAGTTTTTGTTATTTTTTCATATTTTTGTTATGCTTCAAAACATTCTAACTAACCCACTTGATGTCACATGGACTACTTTGATGATGTCTTTATTTCCTTTCTGGACAAGGACAGTATACCATAGATACATTTTCAATGGAGGGACAGAAAGCTCTTGGACTAAATCTAAAATATCTTACGGGCTTGGAACGACATGAGGGTGAGTCATTAATGACAATTTTCATTTTTGGGTGAACTAACCCTTTAATGATCGGACTGGTGAGTTTTTGACCGTGGGATCCGCGTAAAAGATCAGCCGGCGCAGGACCCTGAGCGACATTGGTAACGAATGAGCGAGCACAATAAGAATAAAGAGTTAAATAGAATAATCAAATGTGTAGTTAAACTATTATACAAATGACCAATAATCAATTGGCATTCTAACCCAAATTCGAGGTTGTGATAAAATGGAGTCAGATAAAAGTAAATTGGAATTAAACTACTTTGCCACACTGAAAAGACAGAATGTGAAGGAAACCTTCACCCGCTTATCGGAAACTGTCGTTGGGCCGATTGGACGGGCCTACACTGCTGTAATTGCAGTGTAAATGCATTCACCTCTAAGATTTCGTATACATTAACATGGATAGAAAACAATGCCCCTGGAAATCAATTTATGGGAAAGTTAATTTCCTGTCATCTCGCTGTATTTTCCATATATAAATATATAAGCAAAGTTAAACATATTACATTTACTATAAAACCAATATAATTCATGCATCACAGTTGTGAATTTACCTTCAACTGTTTTATCTTCAACATTTTTTCGTGTAATTGTTATTATAATAATAATAATAATAATAATAATTCAACATTTTTATAATTATAAATACATACTATAATAAATTATATTTTTATAATTAATATTACGGTATAAATGTATAATTAAGACAGATCATCATTTCTGAGGGAAAAAAAGAATAAGGTTGAGGCCAAAATAAACACTACTTTTTTCTGTTTTGTATTGTAACTTGACCCTTAGCAGGACTCAACTTGCTTAAGGTGAGCCACTGACTTGACTTGCTTGGTTCGTGTGCACTGCGACTTGAGACTTGTTGGTAGGGACTTGAAACTTACTTGCGACTTAAACACGTGTAACTTGCTCCCACCTCTGAATAATAATAATACTATTTAAATGGTATAACAATATGTTGGCTTGAGAAGCTAGTAGCTACAGTTTGTGAACAAACTTTGATGTTGGCTTGAGAAGCCTGATAACCTGGTAATGGTATTGTAATCTGTTCATTAACTTATCCAATCAATTTTTAAAAGTCTTTGTTTAATGACAAATATAGTAATAATATGAGCAGTCTTCATTGTTTGTTACCAAAGCAACCGTTGCATTCCACACCACTTTTTGTGTTATGGAAAAGTGCCTGTACACTTGAGAGCCAGCAAGATCACAAAGAAAGCTTGCTGTTGTGATTTATTCACCTCAGGGAAGCTGCTGCCCTCACTGCTATTCGACTGTTTATTCGCTGTTACTGTCACTAATGGAGCTGAACAAAAAAAAGACAAGTCAAACTCAATCTACTTCTTAATGGAATGACATCATTTCTCTCTTACTGTGTAAAGAGACCAGTTTACAGTGGTGTAGTGCTGTATGGTCATACCCGTGAGCTCATGGATGGTCATTCTGTCTAAGACGTTGAAGGATGTGTCGAGCTTCAGTGGCTGACTGCAGCGCTGACAAACAAAACTCACCTGCATGGTGTTGCTAGAAAACTTCAAACCCTCCATGCTGCTGTAGAAACATAACACACACAAACACATTGTTACAGGAGCTTTTTGGACATTCATCTCTAGGCAGTATACTAAATACAGTGCAGTTTTTCTCTGAAGTTTACATACCCTCTGCAGATTATTCAAAATCTTAAATCATTTTAACAAAATAAGAGGGATCATTAAAATTGCAACATGTATTTAGTACTGTCCTGGATAAGCTATTTCACATAACAGATGTTTAAATATAGTCCACAAGACAAATAACAAAATGTATAAAAATTACCCCATTCAAAAGTTTACATACCCTTGAATCATAATACTCGTTACATACTCGTAATGAATCGTTTTTATGTTTTGTTATGATTGTTCAAGGGACCATTGTTTGTCCTGTGCAGTTAAACTGCCCAAAGTTCTTCAGAAAAATATTTTTACACCTTTCCAACAGTGACTATGATTTTGAGATTCATCTTTTCACACAGAACAATTGAGGGACTCATACAGAACTATTACAAAAAGTGAAAACATTCACTGATGTAATGCATTTAGAGCCGAGGGTTGTAAACATTTTGAATTGGATGATCGGGTTAAATTGCACTTATTTTTTCTGCAGGGAAACATGCAAGTATTTTGTGGAGCTTGAAAAGGGCAGCACTAAATGGAAATAATATGATCTTTAAACAAAATAAGAAAAATGTACACATCACTGTTCAAAAAGTTTTCACCCCATCTCTTAATGCATTGTTTCTCCTTCTTGGGCATCGGTGAATGTTTTCACCTTTTCAATTAGTTGTTTATGAACCCCTCAATTGTCCTCAGTTTGATAAGATGTACCTCAAAATCATAGTCACTGTTGGAAAGGAGTCAAATATGCAGAAGATGCAAGAAAACCATTGAATGTGCAGGGTCAGGAGGCTTGTTCTGAAGAACAGTGCCCTGTTTAACTGCTCAGACTGACTCATGAACAATAACACAAAACCAGTCCAGGTAAGAACACACAATATTAAGATTTAAGGGTAAGTACATTTTTGAACAGGGTAATTTTTATAAATTCGTTATTATTTTGTCTTGTGGACTACATGTAAACATCTGTTATATTAAACAGCACAGTACTAAATAAAAAATAGCATGCAATTTTTATGATCCTCATATTTTGTTCAAATGATTAACATTTTGCATTTTCTGCCAGGGGTTATGTAAATTTTATGAGCAAAACAAACTATGTATATATGTGTGTAACGGTCACCAGCTGGAGTGCCCTTGAGAGCCACCAGAGGGCACTCCACATCAGACTATTGTCATTCCCTCATAAACTACATTTCCCATAACTCATTGCTCGGTCTTATCCCTGATTGCATCCATCTGTCTCATTATCCTGTTTAGCTCACACTATAAAAGCCTGGTTCATTCTGTTAGTCTCTGAAAAGTCTTGTATGTTGTCTCACTGCATTTCTGAGCGTGTTTGTTTCCTGTTTCTCCCGTGTCCTGGTTCTCTTGATGCTCTGCCTGTTCCCTCGGACTTCTCTCTTTGCCTCAGCCCTGATCTGTTATTGTTTGGATTGTTTGTGTATGACCCTTGCCTGTTATCTGGATTACCCTGTTCAATAAATACTGCATTTGGATCCTCAACCTTCTTGTCTCAGAGCAGTTTGTGACAGTGTGTGTGTGTGTGTGTCCCATGCTGGCAGAATGAGTCATAATCAGAGGTGAAAAGTAACTAATTACAAATACTTTCGTTACAGTACTTGAGTAGATTTTCTATGTTTTCTACTTTGAGTATAATTAAATTGTGGTACTTTTACTTGAGTTTAATAAAAATAAAGTATTCAACTTGGCTACATTTATTAAAGTACTTTGACAAATGGCCGACAGAGCAACAGGGTAAGTTGACATTTGAAACTACTTTTCACTTTTCAAACTACTGCGTTGGAGCCTTGTGCTTCAGCCAATAACAGACAGGTCTGACTCGGGTTCAAAACTTCCAGTTCAGCTGGGGGGCGGGGCGTTCGAACCGCACTTTGACAGTCAATCACTGGCGCTCGCGTTTTGAATCAGTATCGCTAACATTTCAATATTTTAGTGAAATTAAGTGAGCTATGCTCATATTCTGATTTTAAATTGAAACAAGTCATACCATTGATATTACCAGAGCACTGAGCAGTGGAAGTAAATAGAAAACTCGGCTCATACACCAACACAGTTATTGCATGGATGGAGCAAAAACAAAGTAAGTGTCTAAAATGCATACACACAGTTTAGCTTAATGCTTTAGCTTTCCCTCTTTAACAATGCAGTTAAACTAAATGTACGAATCAAACTTTGTATGAAGCTAAAATAACCTCAACATCAGCAACAACTGAAATAAAATCAGATGATTTATCTGTCAATCAGATGCATGTAAAAGTTTAGCTCGTTACTACAGCAACAGTGGACTCCCTTACACATTTTCAGTAGAACAAGAAAAAAAAAGAGCATTTTATTTAACATGTTAACCTGTACCCCACTTTATTGTATTACTGGCACTTTTTTATTCATACTATTTTAATCCCACATTTCTTTGATCAGACCTCTCACTTACCATTCTTTGCTTTTGCCCTTCTTAAAAAACATTCAAATGATCTTACGTGGACTTTAAAATTAGTAATAAAACAATCGCTCTTGGCAACAGGGATAGCTAGTATGTTTGCTTAGCATAGTGTCAAACACGACAATTTATGACAATATATCATGTTTTGCTCCAAAATCACTATATATACACACGTCAGTTGTGTTTGAAATAACTTTCTTTTGTGGTTCCATATTGCTTCTTAACACAGAGTGAGACAGAAAGTATATAATTGTATAAAAATTCTATACTCTGACACAGGCTATGTCGATTATCTTTGCATTGTAGATATACATCAACAGAAATAACATGGGAGTGTTCACATTACTAAACCACTAAAATATAGCTAACATCGCCCCATTTTTGATAAAAATAGAAAAATATACTAAAGTACTTTGTAACGTAGTAACTTGAGTAGTTTTTTAGCATACTAATTAACTCTTAGACTAATTACGAGCTAAAGGCAAAACAAGTGAAAAAGTCAATTTTGGATGAATTTGAGGTTCACAAAAATTAATTAAATCCTCGTCTAGCGATCCTAATGCTCCAAACAGCAATTAAACATCTAGAAGTATCTTTATTTGTATGTTTTCTGAGAGGAGTACCTTTCCTTTGTCCATGAAAAATGCAGTTTTTCTCTGTTCGCTTCTCGACGCCTGAGGCTTCCCCTCAGGCACGAGTCTGAACCAATGCAATGTGATTTTCAAACTCATGCTGATGTAAACAAAACTATCTTACTCGCACTGACTGACACATCCGAAGCGTGCACACAAAGACGCCTCAAACAGCGCGCGATACTGATATACACATATAGACAGAATTACATTTCAAAATATCGGTCTTGGCGAGTATTCACGCAAACATTATCTGTTATGTCTTAAGTGAACGTTTGTCTTAAGTGAAAGTTTGGTTAACTGTTGGGCAAAAACATCTGGGCCCGTATTCATAAAGAATCTTAATGCAAAGAGTAGCTCCTAGTGACAAAGTTCTAAGAAAATTCTTAGAAATGTGGGCGTTTACTCTTAAAATTAAAGAAAAAAATCCTAGTAAAGAAAAAAGTAATTCAGAAAGTATCTTAACCCTTAAAAGAGGTCTTAAGGTCAAAATTGTTCGAAGTACGGACGAGGACTTTTAAGAGGCTTAAGAGTTTCTTTAGCAGAGGAGAAAATGGCAGAAAGACGAAGAGGGAGAAGAAATGTGTTGCAGACAATGGATGACAGTGAGTTAATAAGACGCCCGAATTTTCCTTTAAGGATGGCCTTGTGTTCATCCACTAACTGGGCTAACAGTTAACACTTCCTCTGTCCAGTCGGGCTTTCTCGTCCTTCTTGGTTTTGATTCCATGTTTGTTACATTAAAACCAACATTCAAACCACCACTTAAATAGACATGCCATCAATCAGTGTAATTGGAAAGAGTGGAACAATTTTTATCATTCTAAGCCAATCAAATACCTTATAGGAAATTAACAGCATGGTAAATAAAAAAAAAGGATTTATATACACATATATAATGTGTGTGTGTGTGTGTGTGTGTGTGTGTGTGTGTGTGAGAACAGTCAAATAGGAAAAATTACGCATGTAATTTCAAAGTGAAGGCTTAGAATAGACCCTATACGTAAAATCACTCTTTTTTTTCCTTCTTGGACAACCAACCAATCAATCACAGTCTTCAAAAGATTGTGTCATACATAGCAAAGGGGTCACCCCCGCCTCCTCACTAAGATGAAAGTTTTTGTCTTTTACTTACTCGGAGTTGCTCTCAGATCGGTCCCGAATCGCTCTTAAGCTAAGACTCCTACATAAAAGTTTTTAAGCTAAATTAAGAGTTTTCTGAGAGGATTCTTAGAATATTTATGAATATGGGCCCTGATGTGTAACATTATATTAGATCCATGCAGTTCAGTAGATCTTATAGGCTGTCATTAATGTTAATCAAACAATTGTGGTATCAAGGGAAAAAAAAAAGTTTAATATATACTTTTTCTATAGATATTTGGTTTTGACTTGGTGTGTGCAAAATTTGGTGTTAATATCAGGGATTTTAAGGTATGGTTGCTAGGTGATTTTTTTTTTTGGAACCTTCAGAAAACTTTAACTCGATTGTTCTCAAAATTGACTTTGCCATCAAACAGGTGCAGCCCGTTAATTTTTTTGTCTGATTCCAACAAATCATACATTATTTTTAAGGTTTTTTAATAAAGAATGTGAAAAGAACAATTGAACAATTGAAAAACATTTTTGAAAATTTGCTCATTGCACATCTGAACATCTGAAAAGGAAACATAGGCTACAGGGCTATTCTGGATGATGGGCCGCCGGAAAAGGCAAAGCCACAGCCACCATAAGTGTTTTTGTCCATTAAATTAAAGGGCACCTATTATGCCCCTTTTCACAAGATGTAAAATAAGTCTCTGA